CTGTGTGTGTGTGTGCCTGTGTGTGTGTGTGCCTGTGTGTGTGTGTATTTATATAGGTTCAGGCTGTGTGTGTGTGTGTGTGTGTGTGTGTGTATGTGTGAATTTATATAGGTTCAGGCTGAAGCCAGAAGCTGAAAAGGGAAGGCTATTGCTCTTGCATTTCCCACACGGAGATTTTCCCTGGGGCAGGGAGAGGGAGGAGAGCAGAAGAGCCATTATCTGGACAGGGTCATTATAGTTAACAGCAGCAAGTACTGCATTAGTGCCATTAGGAAAGAATGCAGAAGAGGCAGCAGAGGGCACCCTCAATTGGGAAGGGCAGATATCTAAGTGGATAGGCCCTGTCCAGTATAACCAAGGGCAGTCAGAGGGAGGAAGGTAAACTGTGTTCTGGCCACTGTAACATGAACACATGAACTAGAAACCCACCCTGAGCTTCCTCAGATTCCCCAGAGAAAGCCACAGGCCTGGAGACTGTTGCCATGGCAGCAGCTATCCAGTGCTCACTGCCTTCCCACTTTCTGCTTGGCTGAGTCGTCTACCTTCTGATGCATTCAGCTTCTGCTTTCCACCAAGAAAGGTTGACGTGGCTCAACAGGGCTGGATGGAAATGTGACTCACTTCCCTAGGAGCAGCTTTCACCAGATGACCCCTGTAGTATAATCTAAAAAAATGTTAGAAAGTGAGATGTACGGACCAATGCTTTTCTGAATTATATAGGGTAGTCACAGGGTATAGAAGGAATAACTGGGAGTCCACAGATACAGGCTCCAGGACCAAATTTTCTGACTTCTTACATGAATTTGGCAGATTATTTGATCTCTGTTTCTGGTGTTTTTTTCATCTGTAATTGAGATTAAAAACTGATTTAAAGAATTGTGTTCTTGGTAGAGGGCATGCTTAGTACATGGGAACAAGGGGAGGAAGGGAGAGAGAAAAAAAGGAGGAAAAGTTATGCACTTATTTTGAGTTTGGTGTGAATTTAAGGATATATAAAATTTGAGTTGAGTCAACATAGTAGTGGTTGATTGGTATTAAAGTAGCAAATATGCACTACAAAAGATATTAAAGAGATGCCAATGCAAATGACTAAATGTAGTAACCTGTGCCTTTGTGTGTCACAATGTTCATTAGATCAGAGGAATGAAAAATTAATTTAACTTTTTTGTGGTTCTAGGGATCA